TTTGATTAAAATTAATATAAAAATTATATAGTAAATAATTTAATTACTTAACTTTGAATCTTAATATCTTTATAACTGCTAATCCAATTTTTATGAAATTTAGAATATATATTTATCAAATCTAGGGCAACCTGCTTGCGTAATTTGAAGTTTTAATATTGCAAATTGATAGCCTATCTTGTTAAACATACCAAAATCAAGAATGCTGCCCCTTTCAAGTTCACTTTGGAAAAAGTCGCCCATAACCGAGTCCAAAGAAAATAAAAGAATCGAATATTCTATCGAATTTGAAGAGAGATCAGAATCACCACTTCCATATATTAAAAAGTGTACCATGAAACCTGCTGATAATAGTGGTTCTGAATATTCATTGTCGTCCGATGAGTTGGCTAATTTCTCGTGAAATAATTGAGCCTGGAATTTATCCTAATATTTTTACTGAAAAGCCGATTTTAAAGATTTTCGACATTACCATTAATAAAGACGATACTGTGAGTGATGTAAAATTAGAGGAAGACGTTGTATTTGTCAAGAATTCATCGTCGTCGTCGTCATTAGTCAAATACAACATTAAAAAGGAGGAAATTCAAGATTCGCACGTGATTATAGATTTGACAGTTCCGTAAAACAAAAATATCAGGAAACTATCATCATTTCGATATTGGACTCGGACGATGAATAATTTTTTAAAAAAGGAAAATTATTGTTTTTACTATGCAAGTAAACGTTTTCTTATTTACAATTAGCCATACTCATTATAGCTTAAATAAATAAAAAATAATAAATTACATGTCATTATAAATACGCTCGTTTTCCCAAATTTAAGGGAATAAAAGATTCCAATGATACTAAACCACGATAATAGTCTAAAAAATTTCTTTTCGAAATCGTTTTCAGTAACGTATTTTTTGTATTTGCAAAGACTAATAACGAAATTTGTCGTCCAACACATTTTCTTTTCACAATTTATTTCGATAATTACGACCAAACCTCAAATGGCCACGTGAATTTCTTTTACTTCTTTTGTTGGATTATTAAACAATAAAGCCCTTAAATAATCGTAATAGTTGCACCGCTGCAATTACATTATTTTGTCGATAGTAATATTATGAGACATCAAATTTAGAATCGAGCCCACCAGTTCTTTAACGATCATATTTTTATAATGCGAAACTTTTGTTTAATACACAAAGCTTAGTTCATATTCGCTTGGATCAAATGAGAAGGATTCTAATGCAAGTGTTATCCTCCAAAACAAATGATTGATTTCTATTTTTGGCCCTGGAATCATTAAATTTTTAATGTTCGTTTCGTTTTAACGTCGCGCTGACTACTTTTGGGGCGATTTCATTTTAGGAAATGTCTAATCTTAATATTTTTGTGTTTGTTGCTAATGCTTCGCCAAATTTTATCAACGATGCTTTTGTGAATTTATAATTTGTAATTTTTAGATGGGTAATGTTCACTTTGTTTTCCGAAACTAGACATAATATCTCATTATGTTTTCGCGTCCAGACATGATCTCGCATCTTCTATGTTATCTGTAATTTTTTTCATTGTAAAAAGCAATTACATCGAATGTTCGTGTTGTATGTTGATTTAATGCATCTACTAGTTCCTTTGTATCGTCGACTGCGTTAAGTTCAAAGTCTTGTAATGAGGTTTCTTGGCATTCGATTGATTCGTGAAATGTTTTGCCACAAATAACGCAATATGAAATATCTTCCATTTCAAGAAATAGACAATTTACCTTGTTAAATCAATAGATTCATCCTTATTTTCTCTAAAGAGACAAATAAATTTTCATCATAAAGTATAGTAACGTCTCTTGCAACACGGTGCTTTTATTAGTAATATCCGTATATTGTCTTGCGCAAATCCTTTCATATTGGCTTCTATTCGACGATTTGATAATGTATTTAACGGCGTATTGTCGTAACCGATGATGTATGAATTGTAGATTATCGGTTCTATTTTTTTTTAGTTACAAAGAAAAATATATTATATGAAGAATCATTTACCAGGATCAAATCGTTCAAACTTATTCAGCTGTTCTAGTTCTGCGAAAAAATCACACAAAACTTCGTCAGCAATATCCACTTCTTTGTGATAGATGTATATTTCTGCTATTTTCATATTTAATTTTTCTGTTTTCTTATTATAGAATTTGAAGTATTTTCAATTGTTCTCTTCAAAGAACTTATATTCTTATAAGAATGCTGAGAACACGAATTTCTAACATTAGTTAAGAGATAACATATAACTGTAATAAGTCAAATCATTGAGAAGTGGATCCATATTTTATTTTTCTGTGAACGTACTTATATTGCTATCATAAAACAAGTTCTCCGTAATTGTATTTAGTGAGCTACAAGAGGTAAAGAACTAATAATTCTGAAAATATGTCTATACTTACAGTTTCCAGCAAAAGTAAAGGTATTTTTATAAATTTTCTAAAAACAAACACAAAAGCTTACTTTATACTATTAATAAATATGCTTATTAATCAATTTTCTATATACTTACTTATTATTATAATATTCATTAATAAGATCAATTTTGTGATATTTATGTTTT